GGGCATTTAAAAAGTCAGAATGTGAATATATATGTTCAAACTCTTTTAGGTCATTTTTTAGTAGCAATAAACAAAAAAACTATGTCAATTGGACATGCTTTGATACTATATATGCCCTTGAATTTTTACTTGATAACATTTTTGTTCGCTTTGGAGATTCCGTATATCGTCAGGTTATCGGAATTCCAATGGGGACTAACTGTGCACCACTTATTGCGGACCTTTTTTTGTATTGCTATGAGTTACAATTTATGACAAAAATCAGCAAAGACCCATCGAAACAACATCTGATACACAAATTTAATAATACTTTTAGATATTTGGATGATATTTTGGCTCTCAATAATGACGACTTCAGTATGTATACTAAAGAAATTTATCCTGTTGAACTTACTTTAAATAAAGCTAATACTAACAATGACCACTGCCCTTTCCTCGATCTTGATATCTATATCATTAATGGAAAGCATAATACTAAAATATATGATAAAAGAGATGATTTTTCATTTCCTATCGTTAATTATCCATTTTTAGATGGTGACGTTCCCTTTTCACCATCTTACGGTGTTTATATATCTCAATTTGTACGATTCGCTCGTGTATGTAACAATGTTTTAGATTTTAACGAGAGAAATTTATGTATTACTGAAAAATTATTACACCAGGGTTTTCGATATCACAAACTAGTCAAAACATTTACTAAATTTTATCATCGGTATAAGGACATTATTCGTAAATATAGCTCAACATGCAGACTTCTTATACGTTCAGGTATTTCACATCCAATTTTTTATGGAAATATTCTTTATAAAGCACAAAAATGTCAGTATTCACCTCTGAAGCTAACAAAACCTTTAAATAGACTTATTAAGAAGGGATATAGTTACGATACTGTTGTCAGGTCATTAAAGATTGCATATTTTGGCGTTAATATTGATTCACTTATAGGGTCTTTGCATCGGCACTAGACACATTTATTTAAAAACCAGTTGTTGCCATGACACGGGTTATATTCTTCTCATATATGTTATGATGGTATGATACTAAACCCCTAACGGGAAGGATTGTGCCTGATATTCATATGATGAAAACATAATCTTTCAATCAGTTTAATTGAAGTCTGGAGCTGGCATGTCAGTTAACTGCTAGTAGTCTGTTGTTATTTATGTATTATTGTCAATTTGTTTATTTTCTTTGGTTACATCTTCTGACATCAGACTCTTGAACTGAATTTTAATGTGCGTATTGTTATGCGTTTGCTTTTCTACATTGGCTAGAGGTATAGGGGGAGGGTTGAGATCTCATAAACATATATTACCCCGCCGCATTTTTGCGCCTGTCCCAAGTCAGGAGCCTCTAGCCTTTGTTAGTCTTGTATTATTTTTAATTTTAGTTTCTTGTGTACAATTTGGAGTTTAGTATGGCGTTCATTATCGCTGAACTAGTATATATATTTGTTTAGGGGCCAGCTGAAGGACGCCTCCGGGTGCGGGAATTTCTCGCTGCATTGAAGACCTGTTGGTGACCTTCTGCTGTTGTCTGTTCTATGGTCTGGTTGTTGTCTCTTTGACACATTTCCCATTTCCATTCTCAATTTTATTGTATGATGCCACATTTTAACAAAAGTGAACTCTCGACTTGTAGGAAAAAGTAAAATCACAAAAATACTGAACTCCAAGGAAAATCCAAAACGGAAAGTCCCTAATCAGATGGCAAAATCAAATGATAAAACACATCAAACGAATGGACAACAACTGTCATATTCCTGACTTGGTACAGGCATTTTCAAATGTAGAAAATGGTTGATTGAACCTGGTTTTATAGCGCTAAACCTCTCACTTGTATGACAGTTGCATCAAATTTCTTTATATTTACAACGATGTGTGATCAAAACAGACATAATAGGTAACATTGTCATCACTGTGTCACAATCTCAAAACAAACAAACATTTAACAAAGAAGCACAAAAAGCATCTATCAAATATAACAACCACATTCATTGCTTACTTATATATGTATTATAAATCAACCCATAAAGGATTGAAATAGTTAAAGTCTTGTGACTGCATTCACATCTACTCTTAAATGTAAACGTCACACTGGAAGAAATATAAAATAATTTTGTCGTTCAAAGTATTTTCAAAATATTTATTCCACATGGGGAATGGTGGTTTACAGTGTTGAAAAATCAAAAGTTATTGTTAAAACTAATTTCAGAAAAAGACCGAGATTTAAAATTATCCAGAAGTTCTTTAGAATTTTTAAGAATCCACATATGGTTAATACCACTACGCGAGTAAAATAATTTTGTCGTTGAAAGTATTTTCAAAAATATAAAGGAAACGTATATGTCTCTCATAGAATGTTCACAAAACAACAAATGATCCTTTATCCAGTGATTACATGAATAAAACGTATATGAAGTAGTATCAAAATTGCCAAATCAATATCTTTGATTGAAGATATCAGAAAATGTATCAATAAATTCTTTCTCGTGATCATTCTTTATAATTATCGAAAAATGTGTAGTTTTCGGGGTTGTGTTATATTATTTGTTTTTTGTCTTTTCGTCTTTTCCGACAGTCACGGTGTTTTCTCGGTGCAATTATATTGCCCTTAGTCACAAATAGAGGCGGTCATAATCGGTACAGCAAGATAAACTTAATGATCAGTTATTTTCACAGGTCGAAATTCACTTGCGACAGGTTGTATGACCACTCAGACCCGTCATATGAATAATGTCAAGTTTAATTAAAAAAACGACCACTTTTAATCATGCTCCGAAAAATATTGACAGGTCCGCTACTGAATTGACCTCGGGATAAATTTAACTTCGCGACCAGTTCTGCACACAAGTTAATTTGGACCGCGAATGCCCATATTTAACCAGACCTGTTTTTCAGATAAATTTTGTTTAGTCTTCACCATGAAAAAGTTAACTAGATTAAAAAAGGAAAGTGTTGAGATTCAAAAGAACAAGGTAAACCCCGCTATATGTTCGTATGTCTGTCCAAAATCAGGAACCTCCCCAGTAGTTTTTTTTTTTTTTTTTGTCTTCAATTATTGTTTTTTACTACTTGGGAAATTCCGTTTTAACTACATGTCTTTGAATGTTTCTGTTAAATCTATTCTGAATTTTGATAAGCTAAGGACGGTTTAGAGCTTAGCATAGTGTTAAGACACCTGGTTATTATTGATTGTTTGCTGTCCTCTACTTTTTTTACATACTGGTATACGCAGAATTCGTATTAGGAAGAAGCCATGTTTTGTCAGTGTATTGAAAAGTAATTTTTAATTCATGCAAACCGATTTAATATATGAGACTGCACCAGATACGCATTTGGACAGTTTGTGTCTCCGAGTTATACTCCAAAACAAAATAATTGAAAAAAAACGTATACAAACGTTGAACAGCTCATACAAAGCCGATATGAACTAAAATGTATTTCAAATTACATTTAGGAATTACGTAATATGTAAGTTAGCACGTAAACAACGAATAGAATAACTTTCGGTTGAGCATTTTTTTATTCTTTTAAACTTATAAACTAGTAGTTTACAAATTATAAGTTCCCTTTTTTAATTATGCATGTACAGTACAATATGGTATTTCGACATATGAAAATTATATACCCCCTGTTACTGACTGGTATACTACCATGATGTTAAATCATGAACCCAGACATTACAATATATATGTGTAAAGAGTATGTATTTCATTATTTTGACAGTTCTCTTACGCGAACTAATAGAAAATATACAATAAAAGACTATGTGTTAATAGATAATATAGAAGGTATTTCCTTTGTTTCGAAAAGCCTTCTAAAAAGCATTCACAAAGCGATCTAAACAAGTATTTGGCTACTAGATACCTTTTCAAAATGGAATTTATTAACAGTTAATGTACCCTGATTTGAACAAAATTGTATCATGTTACAGATTTCTTTTTAAATTCAACTATTTTATTGCATATAAAGTTATTTACACTTTCCATTGGCGCAACCAAAATTGTGCTAAGTTCCTTCCTGTAGCGTTAAACTGCTAATTCATAGTTATTTTCAGTAAGCTGCATTAAACAAAATATATCTATAAAAATATATATAAAAATTCGGTTCGGAACTAGGGTCGAACCAAAGTTGTTATCACTCCCTAATTATTGATACTGAATATCATTTTGATATGTGGTGCACTTTTTTCATGAATGTTTTTGGAAAGTGATCGAAAATAAGAATAGTAAAACTAAACGGGAAGGTTCTTATATTTCATTTATATAAACAACCAGATCATGTATAAAATAAATGAAAACAACACGTTATTAATTTCATGCGTCCGAAGCGATTTTTTGGATTTACCTTCACCAGGAACGCTCAAAGCCAAATATTTGAAAACCGAGACCAAAAAGTACCAAAAGTTCTAAGCATGTTAACCTGTCGAAAGTATACCTGTTATTATGATGGGTCAATAGAAAACCTGTCTATAAGTTTAGTGTGGATCGGAACTGTCCAAAGAACTGGACAACAGTTTACCTGTCCATATAAAATTGAAAATGGAAAAGAGGAATGTGTCAAAGAGACAACAACCTGACCAAAGAGCAGAAAACAGCCCAAGGCCATATGTCTGGTTTGAAATTTTCTTGGCTTTATTACTGGTCAAAAGCAAACTTGTCTGGAGCAGTCATACAAAAGCAGACATAGGTCTGGTCTGTCACTGATGAAGGTAACTGGCCTATCTGTTCCAATCATATTAAGTTTGCTTTGACAGCAGTCAAGTTGTCTGCTAAATGTTAACTTTTGTACAGGTTATGAATAAAATCTCTCTGTTTCTTCACTTTCTGCTATTTCTCCTATATTAGTGCGTGTTTAAAATGTTTGTATTTAACACCATATTTTAGTAGTGCATGTCAGAAACTAATTGTCTGTCATTTCTACGTGTATAAACTGGATATTCTTTAAACGTATATAGCTAGTATGTTGTTAAGATTGTAGTTATTCAATACTTACATTTAAGATGTAATATAAATGATCTGGTCGTGACTGAGAAATATTCGATCAATGTATATATTCTGCATTGGTATAGACCTGCATCGTCAACTGATACATTACTAATCTCTAAGAAAAATTCTCCTTTCGTATTATGTCCAACAATATGTAATCGATTTTTATGTGGTAGACTGTTACTTATACTAGCATCGTCCGAATATTTACTTATGTTCCATATTTTACTTTGACCATACGTATCAATTACATCAACATAACGAATTGCATTATTATCATACGCTGGTCCATACCAGTCTGCATTGGTAGCATTTAATCTGTATTTCAAAACTATTGTTTCGCCTGGTATTGCTTCTATAAAAGTCGTACTATAACCTGAAATATTTCTTCATTTGTTTTCAATAGGTATGACTTTTGTATTTATCATATTTGAAAGCAATATTTATATCAGACAACGGTCGTATTCATTATTTTGATGCCGAAGTATTCTGTCTGATACTGAAAAGGTACAATATGTCATACGTCAATGTGCACATCCGGTTAGCAGGTATGAGGTCATTGTCATTTAATGCAAATCAAGTTGTTCAACTTTTGGTTTCTGATTAGTATAACTGTGATGTCTGTTTTTGTATACTCATCTTCAACGTTAAGAACTGAAAGTTTGGGTGTTAAAAAATATATAAAACTTTAGGCTGTTAAGCAAAGGGGTAATACAATAAGGAATTAAAAGGCAACATAAAAATAAAAACCACGCGTATAGACTTCCAATCAAAGAACCCTAGATGAATAACGTTTCTCAGAAGGTTCAGGTACATGTTTCCGACAGCGCGAGATCCTCCTGTGTAATCAAGGTTGTATAGAAGTATGTACAAATAAATTGTGGTTTTAATCATAAATTTGTTGTTGTTTGTTGTTGTATGTCATATTTGTTTTTCGTTCATTGTTTTGTACATAAATCAGGCCGTTAGTTTTCTGATTTGTATTGTTTTATTTTTGTAATTTCTGGGCCTTTTATAGCTGACTATACGTAATGAGTTTATCTCATTGTTGAAGGCCGTGCAATGACCTATAGTTGCTAACTTCTTTGTTATTTGGTCTCTGATAGAGAGTTGTTTCATTGGCAATCATACCAAATCTTTATATTTTTATATTTGGCTATGTTATATGCACATGCACAATAATTAAAGTGTTCCCTATCGAGTCTGATTGATTACGAAATATTTTTTTTTATTAAAAAAAAAAAATATCAAAGAATAAAACGGTTTAAAAACAGCCCAAATATAACCTGATCCGTATAAGATTTACTTAACACGTCTTAATTCATCAAATATCCTCTTTTTGAAAATTAATAGTTGATACAAAATGTTTTAATCCTGGTATCTATGATGAATGTATGTATCAATTATGGTTTCTAAATTGAAATTATATGCAACATTTATTCTAGGCGTTCCACAAGATAGAGTCTTCTAATATTGTGTATGTATCTTTTAAACCGGTAACATGAAGTTATGTGCATTTCCCGTCCTGACTTGTATCACGTTTATTGTACGTTCTGTTATGTACTATTCATTTTCCTACGAATCGAGATGAAACGAGAGATGAACGAGACCTGAACATTCGTTTAAACCTTCACATGTTAATTTGCATGTTCGAAGTTAAGGACCTCGTCAGTGGTTGTCTTTTGTTATGTGATGTGGTATTTATACAATGTAACACATCTTTGGTACAGATTGTTTTTGGATTACGGGTGACTTAAACTTACAATACCTTTTAGACTCTATCCAATTGATGAAGTTCGTATATTGTCCATTAGATATATATTGTACATTTGGTTCCACATCATACAAAATCTTGAGTGTTCTCCATTTGTGTTACAAGTTACATACTGAGCAATGTGAATGTATAAGGCATTCAGCAAAAATGTAGTCCTGTGTTTTTGTAGCCCTCAAAACATAGTTTGTCCGTTTCTTAAAAGGTGTACAGGTAAAGAAAGAAATACCTTTACAAATAACAATAACTTTTTTTTTAATTTCGTATTCTGAGAATATGTCCAAAAAAATACATATAGTTCAAAGGATACATTGCAGTTTCCAGATATATCTGTACAACACAAAATAATTACCCGATACTTGATGACACAGCATACAGCAGTATAATATACATTGAACACATTTCTTCATTTTCATTTCTGAAAGAAGCAAAGAATTAATGAATTGTTTTATTCGATCTGTGATTTGTATGACTTTGTTAATTTCAGTTACATATATGAGTCAGGCTTAGTAATATCATAGTTTATCGACAGAAAGCAAGAGTTTTTTTTACTTCAAATTGGTTTTAGAAATCGAAACTTCGTATTGAAGAAAGCTAAAACAGACTAATGTTGAGTAAATTTGGATTTTTTTATGTTAATGGTAAGACGTAATCTAAATGATTATATGTACTGCATTAACACAATTGTTTCTGGAAGCATATTTCCTGCAAAACAACAGTGTATCAATATATTTAAAGAAGTATAGAACAGTGTTTGTTTCTTTTAATGGTAGTATACTGTCAGTTCTAAACTCTCCTAGAATCTGCCAGGAATTGTCAGGAGAACTGTTCTAGAACAGACTGTAGACAATTTCCCCTCACACATTTAGAACAGTTTCTGACAGAAGCGGTATTACCATAAAACGATTTTGGACTGTTCCATCCTATAACTGATTTTTAGAGTTCTAATCTTCAAGAGATCCTGACAGTTATATGTCTATAACAGTTTTGGTTAGCTCTGTTTATCTACATGGTAATATATTAGATAAATTGCATTAGTCTAATTAATTTTATCCTATAATTTCGAATAACATATAGCAAAATAGTATGTAATTACATGTGTATCATAACGTAAGATTGTTTATTGACAGGCAAACTCGGTTATAAAAAGACTTCAGAACAGATTTGGACTGTTTTACCAACAAACTGATCGTTCTACCTTAGAACAGTTCTTGGGCAGTTCTACCCTTGAATTAATTCTGATGTCTACAATGTTCTACCATTATAACAGTTCAAGAACTGTTTACAACAGTTCCTTGGCATAGTATTCTGACAGTTCTAAAGAGATGTTAGAATTGATCCAATTAGTAAAGAGCTAGTTATTAGCTTATGTACTAACCACAGATATAACGTGAAAAAACATACTAAAATAATTTACAGATAACGTTAGGATTAAGAAACTGAATGCACATTGAAAATTTGTTAATAATTACCTTATGTCAAGTTACATGACCGTTTTATCTACACATTAGTTGAAACTGCTTAAATAATAAATAAATGTTTCCTGCTTGAAATGGCCTTTCAGGAAATATACTTTCCGTTAAATGGTTGTGGGGTTGTTTGTTTTTGTGTGGCTTTTATAGGTTACTAAAGAATGACAATTGTATAACATTTGAACCATCCGCGCTTTCTAAACATAAAAGTTTGGAATTGGAAAAATTATTTTTTAGACAACAGACAGACACGACTGATTGGAAAATTTAATAAAATATATGCTCGAATGTTAGGCCAAAATTAGTCTTAGAAACGATTTTTTTTAAATCAAATCTTTATTAAACAATTTGATGAGAAACAAGAGGTGTCAGACAATTCAATATGCATAATATGTATTTTGGTTAAAAGATCGCAGTCCTATGGAAATTTAGACGGCTGATCAAACATGTAAATGATTTATGAGGGCATGTTTTAAAATCATACGTAGTAGAATGTAAAGATGAGAGAAAAAATGCGTAAACTGAGGACTTTTCGAGGTTACGAAAAGCAAGAGATAATTGTTTATTATTTCTTTCAAAAGTGTTTTTCGAGGGAATGAAAAAAAAATTTCGAAACAACGAAGAGAGCATCTCGCGCAGATAAATAAATACATAGAGACTTAAGTGTACTTTTTACAAATGAAATATCGTTCAAATGAACGAAAAAATATAGGGATTCTCGAATCCCCTTTCGGCACAGCTACCAAAGACAGCTTAAATCCAAAATATTTAGCAAAGAATTGTAATTTTTGTTTTTAAAGCAACTTTGTGCTTGCTTGACGATTCTTCTTTCAAACATTTTTTGAAGTAATCGGAGTACATAAACGAATTGATCAATAATATTCCTGAAATAACATTGTCTTCTTTAGTCATTGTTAAAGCATATGCACAAATACAAATTTTGAGCACATCCTTCAAATTTCCAGTGTCGGGTCATTCGGATAAAATATACAAATCGTAAAGAAAAATGCTTGAACACTTTACAACTTTTAAAAAATATTAGATTAAAATATTTCCAATTATTTATTCGTTAAATAAAAACTGTCAAAAAAACATTCATAAAGTTTGCTTCGGTCAATTTCTCTATCACTTCTGTAACATTGTAAATTAAGCATATATCAATTAATCGGCGCGTCTGTTTCGTTTTATAAATTTACATGGCCTATACCATTTTTGTGACTATTTGTGCTGACGTTCAACCTTCAATTGATTGAATTTTGTAACCAATTACATTTTTGTTATAGTTTGACTAGTTGAGCCTTTATATACGTGTGATATATGCTTAGTTAAAATTTATAATAAAGTTACAATTCTAATTGTCAATTTAATAACATTGGCATTCCTACAGCACAAACTTCCCGTTTAGATTTACTTTCGAAATCAAGCACATCATGCATATATAGATCAATTTGTAATTTGATATTAATATTATCGACTTTTGTTTACATATAGTTTGAGGATGTCAATCATGATGTACAGTCATGATATTAGTCATTTGCCGTCAAAAATATATATGCCATGCAGTGTAACCCAGACAATATAATAATCATAGTACATAAACTATTATTTTGTCGCAGATGAAGGTCAATATGTTTTGAAATCGATGAATAATTTCCTGTTTTTACAGGAAACTGATGAATTAAAAGCAATAGAAAAATTACATTAAACTTAAATTTATCCGACCTAATTTATTATCTAAATATATGTTTCCTAATAGTGAGGTCCGCGGTTAAAGTTATCAGAAAGTATATACGAAATTCGATGTTTTGATCCTGCATTCAGAATTCATGACAACTGTTTTGTTCTAACATCCACAAGGATCGACTCATATTAAAGTGAAAATGGTATTGTTAGTGTGCTTCAGTACAGTCAAGCGTTAAAATAATAGAATGTTTGAATATAAATCGATCCTTGTAAATTTGAAAAAAAACGATTTCATTATATAGTAGCTCATTAGCTTTATAATAATGTAGTCTGTAGATATAAATTAAAGTAATGTAAAATGATTATTATATATGAGTTTCATTCAGAAACATAAACACCATACTTATCTCACATGTCTCAGTCTTTAGATTTGAACGACGATAC